AGTCGCTGCTGGGGGGGTGGGGGAGCACTGGGGTATGTCCTGTGTAGGGTGTTAGTGCCCCTCTCTCCGGCCAGCAGCTCGGCCCCGGCCCCCCACCCCTGCCGGTGCCCCTAGCTCCTGCCCCCAGCTCTACTGGTGCCCCTCACTCCTGCCAGAAGCCCCTGCCCCCCCCAAGCTCTGGCCCCCCAGCCCTGCTGGTGCTCCTCACTCCCAACCTGCAGCATCATTTCTGGTCCCTGACATCCCCCATAGCTCCCTTCTCCTGCCCCTTCCAGGGCAGGTGGGGCTGAGCTCCCTGCCTGCTCCCCAGGTGAGCTGGGGGTGGGAAATGGAGCTTGGGAATCAGGGCTGCACCCCTCCCTCAGTGAGTCACCCCCCTCAAGTCTGTTTTTCTGGTTTGGCTGCTGAGTCTGCCAGGGAACTACAAGGGTGAGATTCCCAGGGAGGGAGTCAGAGGGTGCGGCTGGGAGCCAGGACTCCTGGGTTCTCTCTTGGCTCTGGGAGGGGAGTGGAGGCTAGTGGTTAGAGCAGGGGGGTGCTGAGAGCCAGGACTCCTGGGTTCTCTCTTGGCTCTGGGAGGGGAGTGGAGGCTAGTGGTTAGAGCAGGGGGGTGCTGAGAGCCAGGACTCCTGGGTTCTCTCTTGGCTCTGGGAGGGAAGGGGAGCCAACGGGTGACTCCCGCTCTCAGTCCCTGCTGTCTGTCCCTCTTCCAGTCACAAACTGGAAGAAGGGGGGGCTGCCTGACTGAATAAAACGATGCGACTGAGTCTGGGGTGTGCCCGTCTGTGTCCTTTGTGCCTCGATCCCGGGGTGGCCGCAGTCCCTGCTCGCGGAGCGTGACCCCCAGGGGGCAAAGGGGGACTCGCTGGGGCGAGTGGAGAGGTGATTTCACTTCTGGCTCTGGCTGTGGGGCAGCCGCTCCCTTTTCCCAGCCCTGGAGGTTGTTCCCTAGCCTGCTCCCCGGACCCTGGGGGAGCTGCCTCCGGTGGGCTGACAGCCCTGCCCTGGGCCACACAGGAGCCAACTCAGGGCTGGGGGGGTGAGGGCCACAGCCAGGTGGTCCTAGGCAGGGGGAGGTTTCTGGGGTTCGTGGAGTTAGCAAGGAGAGGGCATGGAGCTGGGGGGCCCTCAGCCCTGGAGGTTGTTCCCTAGCCTGCTCCCCGGACCCTGGGGGAGCTGCCTCCGGTGGGCTGACAGCCCTGCCCTGGGCCACACAGGAGCCAACTCAGGGCTGGGGGGGTGAGGGCCACAGCCAGGTGGTCCTAGGCAGGGGGAGGTTTCTGGGGTTCGTGGAGTTAGCAAGGAGAGGGCATGGAGCTGGGGGGCCCTCCCTCCCTGGTCCCCCTCCACGGGGCGGAGAGGCATGGGGCTGGGGGGCCCTCCCTCCCTGGTCCCCCTCCACGGGGCGGAGAGAAACCCAACCCCCCGGGGACCTGACCCTGCACGGCCAGGCTGGTACCCACACAGCGATGTTTCCAGGGATGCTGGCTCGGGGGCAGGAAGTGCAATGTGGGGCAAGCCCCCCCCTCGTGGGTTGGACAGGCTGGT